CAGACTTGAACCTGCGCATGGCATCATCCCTCTGCTGCACAGCTGTGTCCAAAGCCCGCGAAGCATGCTCAAACCTTTCCCGCATGTCCTCGGCCGCACGTGTCCAACGTTCCAGCTGCCGCCGTAGCTGCATGTTGTTGCCGACAACATCATCACAACACTGCCGTATAGCGTCCCGGGACTCGTGCAGCCTCCTCAAGACGGATGAAGCCCACCGGCGAGCATGAATGTTCTCCAAGGACATCTCTCTCGTGTGTTCGCTCCTCCCKCTCCTCACTGTGATTGTGAAGTTGTCGGCCCTCGAAACAAGAAACMTGTGCAGCCGTGCAMCCTCCGCCTCCGTCCTATCCATRGMTTGGATTAGCGCACGCCTCTCGAAGACGTAGTTCCTGCCTGTTACATYCCYCGCCATTGCACCACAAAGGTCTTCACAAAGCAACTACAAGCACGGAGAGAGGGCAACTGCGGACCCAACAGCAGCAACTACAAAGATACAGTGTAACACCGGTGATAAAAAAAAAAAAAGACTCCGGGTGAGTTTTAAAGACCCACGATGAAACGGTATGCGAGTGCAGTGCAACTAAACGGCCCGTCGCCGCCGCAGCTCCCACAAACGGACTACCTCAGTGCACAATGCGTCCCGCACCGCCTGGCCGCGCTCCCTGCCAAACATAAACTCCAAGGGGGCACCTTCGACACGGAGGTCAACATCAGGAGGTGGATCATCCGGGGATGACGCGTCACTTATCTCTCCGTCCGCATCAAGCATATCCCCCCACGACTGCAGCAAGTTATGTAGGATGCAACAGGCCCGGAACTCCAACTTCTCGCGGGACATGTCCGGTATGTGCGGCCTATAGAAATACTGGAAACGCTGCTTGAAAACGCCAAAAAAACGCTCGACACATGAGCGAACAACCTTGTGCAATGCATCAAAGCGTTGATTGGCCGTCGTGGTACGCGGCGATTGGCCGTAAGGGATCACAATCCACGGAAGAGCGTGATACCCTCCGTCACCAAGCAAGTATCCCCCAGGGACACCCGGGATAGACGGCCTCTCTGCAGCGAAAGGATCATCGGGGCGGTCAACGAACAGTGACCCCTTCATAGCGCGTCTGTACAGGGAAGTGTTCCTCAGAGCACGGGCATCGCCAACGGTCCCAGGGAAGCCGTAGCAGAAATCCAGGATCTGCAAGTCCGAGTCAACGACAATCTGCGCAAGCACTGAGAACCTGTTGCTCCGTCCAGAACAATAGTCATCACCATCTGCGCGTCGCGGTTTGTCGACGTACACGTGGGTGCAGTCGATGCACCCCCAGCAATTGGGGAAACCCAATGCTCGGAAACGCTGCATGCGTAGGTGCCGCTCCTCATAACTGCCAAAACTAACAGCGTTCGGGAAGGCCGTGTGAATGGCCTCTGCAACTTCTCGTACCGCGCGCAAGGCACTAGTTCTCCCCATGCCATATCCGGACGAGYTGTGCCAGTGTGCATCGCCGTGGGCCCATCTSTGGAGTGCGTAGGCCAATTTCTTGGACGRCGGCAATGGCACTCTGAATTTTGTGACTTGCTTCTCCAAAAGGGGCCCGACCTTACGCAGCAGCCTGTCGAATGTGGACCTCCGCATGCGTAACAAGCCCAAGTAGTGGTCATTCTCGGCGTCGTCCGTTGCGACGAGGTCCTTCCATAACCCCGCAGACCGCCGCATGACCCACCACCTAGGAGACGCCCTTGGTGACAACCCGCACATTTCRTAAATGGTTGGCAACAACCAAAGGAGACTGCGGTGTCGTCCTCCGGCATCTTCGTCGGCATCACCAACAGTAACCATCGCCATATCATCGTCCTCACCAGTGAGCAACGACTCGTCAAACAGGGAATCAACGAAACTGAAGGCATCTTCTGCCAATCTGCCGGCGATAGCCATGATGGCCACCACCAGGGGGTCCCGCATTCTCCTATGCATGCRCGGCATGGCACTTGGGGCAATGGGTGTCCTCGCACACGACGATGGCACAGCGAGACGTGTACCGTCGTCCCTCGAGAAAGAATGGAACTCGGGTACCACGGAGTCGGAGCGCCGAATCCGTGTCGCAACACTGGTCCTTCTACCAGTCCCACCCCTCTTCCAGCAACTTTTCAGGAACAAAGAGAGAACACTTCGACCACGTTCAGCCTCAGTGTTTCCACTCCGTTCACAAGTTCAGAATGGTGGACGTTCTTGGCGCAGCATTTCGCCTACACTTAGGGATAGATTCGTGCTTCAGAGACACGAAGCGGGTCGCGTGAACCCCTAGCGCTCAGCACAGGCGCAATAATGACGGGTGTCAGACGTTGTAACGGCCGGGCTCTGGTACCTTTTTTTTTTTTTCGCCTGAACGGGAAAAAACAACAAAATATTATTTTCCTTCCTATTTTTTATTCCCTACAACGCGTCACACACCGATTTACTCTTCACTAGTCGGACTTGACCCCTGCAAGGATGACACGCATAAATCGAGAAATGAGTTTCTTTTTTTTTTCTTTTTTCTTAGAGTTTCAAAACATAGCGCGTCCGCCGTTGTTTCTTTTTTGTTTTTAAGTGCTACTGCTGCTACCAGTGCTCCGTGATAAATTTGAATTTTGGCAGAAAAAAAAAAAAGAAGTGCTCGTCGGTGATACCGAGGCTGCTGTAACTCGGCATGTGCATGTAGGGAGAAAGATTCGAACAAGAGCTGTTGCTGCTGGTTCTTTACGTGGGGGAGGAGGGGGGCACAATTTCAGGCAGGGGAATGTCAAAAGGGAATAAGGGGGAGACATAGGAGAAAGACGGTGAGGATACGGGAGTACGTGTCTACGATTGAGGGGTGGGGGGACAGGGTAAGCGCGAGGAAGTCAGGGGAACCGGGGGTGGAGATGGGGGCCAAAGGCCGGCAGGTGTCACGGAAATAAGGTAGCAAGGAGATGGGGAGAAAGTGGGGGGGGCAAGTGGGGCGAAAGGTGCCGAAGAGATGGGGGGGGGAGTTCAGGGAACTCGGGGAAAGGTCGCTCCGTGATGGGAGGGAAAGTAAAGGGAAGGTGGGCCGGAGATAGGGATGGAGATAGGGGGACGGTGGAGCGGAGACTGGGGCGAAGTAGGGGGAAGTCAAGGCCAGGATCGGTGGGAAGTGGGGCAAAGATGGCACCAAAGATGGGGGAGGATGTCGGGGGAGTAGGGGTGAAGGGGCGTGAAGATGGGGGCAAAGCAGGGGGAGACACGGCGCCAAGATCGACGGGGGAACTAGGGACGCAGATTCCAGAGAAGGTGGGGGTGGGGGGGGAACTAGGAGGAAAGGTGCCGAGGAGATGGGGTGGTAAGGGGACGTTAAGGGGAGGTTACGCCAAGATAGGGGGCGAGGTGGAGGGGAGGTGATGAGTAGATGGGGGCGAAGTAGGGGGAGGGTGGTGCGCCGATGGTGACGGAAAAAGGGGAACAGGTGGCGCCAGTGACGGAAGCGGGGACAGCAGACGACAAGATGGGGGAGGAAGGGGCTGGAAGGTGGCTATGAAATAGAAGCGAAGTAGGTGGCGCCAAGATGGGGGGGGAACGAAGGGGAAGATGGCGTGCAGATGGCAGGGATGGGGGGGGAAAGCAGGGGCAAAGATGATGACGCGATGGGAAGGGAAAGTGGGGCGGAGTACGGGGAGATGGCGTGGAGATGGGAACGACGTGGGGGCACCAAGATGGCCGGAGGCAAGCAGGACGAAGGTGCCACCTACAACACTGACCGTTTGCAGGTTTCTGTTCTTTTCAAATGCGTTTTAAACATTCCACCTACACACAAACACACACACACACACGCACACACACGCACACCTATACGTGATGAGCACTTATCCATCAGTCAAATTCATCCTGGGCAGACTGTTGGGGTTCACCCTCCTGATGAGTCGGTGAAACTCCGACGAAACAGTCTGGCACAGTCATGCCTTTCTTGTCTAGTTGTGTATAGCGAACATGACAAAACACACACACACACACACACACAGAGAGAGAGAGAGAGAGAGAGAGAGAGAGAGAGGGTTCAGCCTCCTGGTGGAGTTGCGAAAGCCGGCCAGCTCGAATTCATCATCACTTCAGTCGTCTCTCTCTCTCTCTCTCTCTCTCTCTCTCTCTCTCTCTCTCTCTCTCTCTCTCTCTGTATATATATATATAGTTATCAAATATTTAACTTGTTTCTTGCTTAACTGCTTTTGTGATTTTGTTTTTTATTTTTTTCCCCTCCCTTTCCCTTCTCTCTTCACTGAGGATCGTAGTAATCAGCACGGTTCAGCAGTGCAGTCGCAGAGGGAAAGACCATAAACTCGAACAGCAATAATAACATACGATGGTTGGTGTTCTAGGCCAAGACTCTCTTTGGAGTAGGCTGGGTATCAATGAGCGAAGAAACCCAATGATAATGGGAAAAGTTATAAATTCCCCCCGCAAGAAAACCTTTGTACTCATTTGCCCCCAAACAGGGCAAAAGTGGGCCTGACCCCAAAATGACTTTTCACGTTTTGGGGGCAAATGAGTACAAAGGTTTCGCACTTTTTGCCACGTTTGGAGGCAAATGAGTATAAAGGTTTCCTCGCGGGGGTGATTTATAACTTTTTCCAAATCAAACATTAAACTTGTTTCTTGCTTGACTGCTTTTGATTCTTTTTTTTTTTTTTTTTTTTTTTTTTNTCCCAAAAAAAAAAAAAAAAAAAAAAAAGGTCCAATAAGTGGCTATAACCATTCATTTCCAATACCTTTCGAAGTGTGATGGACTGCCACAAAAAGAAAGACGTTTCTTTTAAATAAAATAAGCGAAAGATTTGGAAAGAAAGCACATGTTTATTGAAGAAATCATAAGTTCATAATAGCTTTGTATAATACATTTGTCTCCCCGCAGGTAAAAGGGGGGGAGCTTGTGTATTCAATCACAAAAAAGTATGGCCGCTCACCCTAACCAGGGACCGCCGAGCTGTTTGGGATCCTCAGAGACTTTACACGAGAATTCTCTCAAATTCTCAATCAAACAAAAGAGCGCTCTTGCGCCTTCGGACTTCCATACTTAGGGGGCAATTTGGTTATAAGTTCTTGGGCATACGACAGCAATAAATTTCATGGCCTCGCCAGCGTACTCAGAAAGCATGAAAAATTTGGACTCAGTCCAGGACTCCCACTTGCTCGCAATAGAAAGGCCCTTGTCACGCTACTCACATACCAAATAACTAAGTGCACAAAGTTGTGTACGGAGTCGAACATAGCTGTCTCCGTACCATAGCCCAACGAGTGTCCACTTGCTCACAGTGTCACCCCTACAACATCGGATTCCACCCTTGCTCAAAGGCACACAAAGTTATGCACCCTTACAACTAGAACTCCAAGGCACTAAGGTAGAACAAAGAAATATATTAAGCCAAATGTGCATGTGTTTCTCACTCACGACAATACACACACGCACACATACACACACACACACACACACACACACCTGTCTCTTATACACATCTAGATGTGTATAAGAGACAGTCCTCCGCTAGGGTTCAGTTTCATCACCGGGATACTGCAGTCTTCCCTCGAATACAACGCACGGTCATTATAGCTGAAAATTTAGACTGAAAGATACGGTAACCCCAAATTCAGCTAGAATGACCGTACGTTGTATTCGGGGGAAGACTGTATCGGGGGAAGCCTGTAGCCGATGGACGGATGACGTAGGGCCTCGCTGCACTCCTCTCCGCATGCACAACAGACAAAAATCGTGGCGGTGTATCTTTCCATATTCTAGTGGAAGATTCAGTCTCGTTTTGCACATTTCGAGAGTAGTGCAGCGAGGCCCGTAATTGGAGCTCGTCATCGAGGTGTGAAGTCGATCGACGGCTGACGGAGCTGGAGGTCATCATTGACGTATATACTGATGATGAACTGACACCGTTGTGGGTTTCGACCAATTGTCAGTTCATCATCAGTTTATACGTCAATGATGCACAAAAGACAAAAATCGTGGTGGTGTATCTTCCCATGTTCTAGCAGAAAATTCACTCTCGTTTTGCACATTTCGATAGCAGTGGAGCGACGCCCAATGTCAGAGTAGTGAAGGCATAAACGCTCCACTACTCTCGTAATGTGCAAAACGAGAGTGAACATGAAAAGAGACATGGCCGTCATTTTTGTCTTTTCTGCATGTTGAGATTGGCGGAGCGAGGCCCTAAGTCACAGCAGTGAAGAAGAAACAATATAGGGCGCACAAAAGATTTTTTGTGCCTTGTTATGAAAATTGCTGGAAAGCGCCCGTGCGCCCAAAAATAAATAAATAAATAAAAAATTTCCCACTTGCCAAGGTGGCCCTAAGTCATGCACTTTCTTTAGTGTATAGTGAATATGACAGCACACACACACACACACACACACACACACACACACACACACCCCACACACACGCACACGCACACACACGCACACGCACGCACAGTCATGCTGTTTTTGTGGAGTTGTATAGCGCACATGACAAAACACACACACACACACACACACACACACACACACAAACACGCGCGCGCGCGCGCCCACGGATACACGCACGCACGCACGCACGCAAATCGTCGTTGCACTCATTGTGCAATGTAATTATTGAGCTACTCTAGAATGCACACTGATAAGTAAACGCTCACTTCATCAATCATAGGTAAGTTGTTGGGATGACGCTGAAAGAAAAAAGAGTAAACAACGCACACGCACAAAGAACAACAATAATCAATAATATTATGTGGTTGCTTGTAACGGCAATAGCGTGTTGCCGCGAGCTCGTAAGTGGACCATAACTCACGGCCAGCATGACACGATCACCGCCTAAGACCTTATCAATCCATTTGACTGATCACCACTCTATGATGAAGGGTCAGGCGGTGATGGGCCTCCGATCTTAGATAGGCCCGCTCGCGGCGTTCACCCCCATCTTCTCCATCAAGATCATCAACACACCCACCAACTCTTGTCGTCAGATTTCTCCAGCCTTGTTTTTTTTTTTTTCCCACCTGCTTTTTGGATCCGCTGTCGACGGCGGATGCCATGGAG